AGTCTACAAAAGTTCATAACTTTTTGAATACCACATGACTTTTAAAGACTCTTTAAAAGTCTTAATTGAATATCACACGACTTTTAAAGACTCTTTAAAAATCTTGATTGAATACCGCTTGACTTTTAAAGACTCTCTAAAAGTTTGAATTGAATACCTCTAAACTTTTAAAGTTCATAAAAACTCTTTAAAACTCTGTGAAAGTCATGATTAAATACACCCCCTAAGTTAAGATTGTTTTCCTAGTTAGAATAAGAAAATTTGTTTCATATTTTAAAGAGTTAATACCCAAAATAGTCCCTCGACTATGTTGTAATTACCAATTTGGTCCTCGACTATCATTCTTACTCAATTAAGTCCTCAACTATATAATTTTTACCCAATTTAGTCCTTTGTCAATTTGACTATTTGTTGACTGTCAAAAGTGGAAATAAAGTTGTAATTTTACAAGTTTTCTCCTTCCTCCTCATTTAGCAGCGCCAAACCATGTAGCAATAAGTTCCGGTTGGGTTCTAAACCTGTCAGTATCGAAGTAGTGGTTATGCATCGGATAGCCCATGAATTTGATTTCCAACGATTTTTTGACGATCGAAATCTGATCGGAGTGTACTGCTGCATGGTTTGGCACTGCTAAATGGAGAGGAAGGAGAAATCTTGTAAAATTATAATTTTATCCCGACTTTTGACAGTCAACAAACAGTCAAATTAATACAGAGGACTAAATTGGGTAAGAATTGTATAGTTGAGGACTAAATTGGGTAAGAATTGTATAGTTGAGGACTTAATTGGGTAAGAATGGTAGTTGAGGACCAAATTGGTAATTATGACATAATCGAGGGACCATTTTGGGTATTAACTCTATTTTAAATTGTTATCTTATTGTTTTCTAGTTACATATTTAGAACGATTCTTTACAAGAGTTTTAGAATGTCTCTGTATCTTTTTCTACATCTCCCTAGATGGGATAGTACTCTTACCACCCTCATCTATAAAAGGGTTGTGAATATATATGTTGATTTTGATAAGACAGATTTAAATATAATCCTTTACATTTTCTTTACACTTGTGTAAGAATTTTTCCTTATATTCATGGACCTATAGAATAGTGTTTTTGATTTTGTGGCCCAATGAAAATCAAACCTATCTTAGATTTTAGAATTTTGGACCTATCAATCTTAGAATTGAAGGACTTGTTAGAATACCATTCTAGTTGTTCGAAAATTGCAAATTTTATCAGCTTGAGGTGTGCTAAGGTTTGCTTCTTTTGGTCCTTCATGGAATCGAGGTTTAAGGGCGATCTTGTGCGCACTAAAGTAACCCTTTTCTCATTGAATTTGAGAAAATTTTGTGCTATAATTCCTTGAGTGAATTGTCCTTATAAAGTTTGTATCAGACCTAGTGGGGTAGGGCCGCTCAATCAACCCATGAAGGTAGGTAACCCAATGGCATGACATTGGGCCTAACTGCCTAAGTATATAAGGTGAAAGAATAATTACTTTGGGCTTGGAAGGGGATAGAAAGGTGTGGAAGAGCTTGGGAGGTGGTGTCATTGCCTCATTGGCTAGAGAAGTGACGTTATGCCTTAGAGAGTGCAAATTATGTTGTGCAACCGTGTGCACCATACATCGTGTGCACCATGTATGGTGCACACGGTTACAAAAACGACATCGTTTTGACTAAAAACGCGCATCCCATTTAAAAAGAAAAAATTCAGGTTTGGTTCCCGGCAATAGCATTTTTTGTGTGCATAATTTGAATTATATATCCACAAATTCATAACTATATATCAACAGTGAATGAATAACACAAAATCCAGAATAAATGAACTAAATATCCACAATGAATGAACTAAATATCCATAAATTCATAACTATATATCCACAAATTCATAACTATATATCCACAATAATGCTGTTGAGGGGAATTGAAGCTGATTTTTTTTAAATGAAATGCACGTTTTTAGTCAAAACGCATGGTGCACACGGTTGCACAGCATAACTATCCCTTAGAGAGGTGATGACCAACGAGGAAGGGAGTAGTGTGCCGAGGCACTACTCGACCAGCAGTTGAATAGCTAGGCATGCCAGGGCAAAGTTGATATATGGTACTTTTTTTCCCTGAATTATATGTTTATACCACTTTTTTCTCCTGAATTATTCATATATTCACATTAACCCCCTCAATTATTATAAAAGTAACGATTTTTTCTCCTGATATATTAAATAGACATTTCTACCATTGAAATAAATATTTTATTTATTTTTTTTCTTCAACAAATTATCCCTTATATGTAGGAATGACCACGGTTCGATTCAATTCGAATAGAACTGGACACTATAACAATCAAATTAAATTTTTCGGTTATGATATAGAACCGGAATCCAATATTTGGAGAAAGAAATAAATGAAATATTTATTTTAAGGGTAAATATGTCCATTTAACATATCTAGGGAAAAAACTGTCACTTAAATAATTTAAGAGAAAAAAATGCTATAAGTATATAACACTGGAAGAAAAAGTGTCATTTTCCCAATTTGGGGAGTTAGGTAGCGAGGATCACCCATTCAAAAATCATCATCTTTAAACTTCAGACATAACACGCCTCCATCGCAAATTATGTCATGGAATCGTGTTCACCGAGAATGGTGAACACAAGGCAAAACGACGTCGTTTTTAGGCAAAAAAAAAAAAAATTTCGCGGATGTGGAGTTAACGGCGCGCGTTTGATCAAATTATGAATTTTCTGTTATGAGATTATGAATTTTATGAAAATTCATAATCTCATAACAGAAAATTCATAATCGCATAACAGAAAATTCATAATCTCATAACAGAAAATTCATAATCTCATAACAGAAAATTCATAATCTCATGGTTCCAAAGTGAATGTGTAGGCATGGTTCCAAAGTGAATGTGCAGGCATGGATTCATAATTTATGAATGTCCGTGATTTCGGACGGGAATATGTAGGCATGGTTCCAAAGTGAATGTGCAGGCATGAATTCATAATTTATGAATGTCCGAAATTATGAATGTAATGAAAATTCATAATCTCATAACAGAAAATTCATAATCGCATAACAGAAAATTCATAATCTCATAACTGAAAATTCATAATCTCATAACAGAAAATTCATAATCTTATAACAGAAAATTCATAATCTCATGGTTCCAAAGTGAATGTGTAGGCATGGTTCCAAAGTGAATGTGCAGGAATGGATTCATAATTTATGAATGTCCGTGATTTCGGACGGGAATGTGTAGGCATGGTTCCAAAGTGAATATGCAGGCATGAATTCATAATTTATGAATGTCCGAAATCTTTGTTCACCTCAAATTAAAGTGAAACCACAAAATGTGAAAATAAAGAAGAAAAGTCACACAATTAATTAAGAAATAAAAAAAAAAAAAAATAACGGTGTACTAATACCGTTGGAACCGTGTTCACCATGAATGGTGAAGACGGTTCCATGGCATAACGTCTGCGCCTCCATCCCCCCTCTGTATACAAATCATTCCACATAGTGTCGTCATAATATAGCTTTGGGTGTGTCTTTCATGTCTAGACTTATTCTTAGGCTTGGACCCTTGTTTGGCCTTAGCTATATTATTTATTTCTATTGTAACACAATTGTGAAGATCATGGAGGTTTAGTGTCCAATTACTATTAGTCATATTTTTCCCTGGCTTTAGTAGTCTCTAAACCAATTTTATGGTGGGTCTGATCCATTCCACATCATAATAAGTTTTTGTTTAGCCCAATATCCTAATTGGAAAACTGCTCCATGCACTTCATAATTTTACACACCTAAAGCAATACAAATACCACACTCAAAGCCTCAAAACTAGTTAACGCCGTCACAACTAAAATGCACAATGACACACCAGAAAATTCACAACGCATAAGCACAAGTGCTCAACCCATTAAACAAGACAACACCAGCAAAACGAAGGGTGTGTTTGCCTGTTTGGTTAATTTGCAAATGGTAATGAGTTTTGGTGAAAATATTTCCATGTTTGGTAATAGGGTGGAATTGGAATGATTACTAATATTGATGTTTGGTTATGTATGACCCTATAACGGGAATAAAAGTTTAAAAAATAATAAAAAAAAAGAAGCAAGACAATTGATCCTAACATATATATAATGGCATCCAAAGCACCAATACGAACAAAAAAATCAAAACAAAAATCTAAAAGCATTAACACCCATTTTTAATTACAGAATGTGGTTGTTAATTGGAGGTGTAATTAACTCACATAGTTGTGTATTAAAAAGTTGTCAACCAAATACTAACTATGATTTTGATTTCCCTCCCTAATGTGTAAATTAAATCAATGAACCAAACACACCCTAAAATGTATGCCCACGAATGAAAATCAACCCTGCCAACATGATGAATTAGGAAAAATTCAATATATCCATAATATTATACTCAAACGATGCACAATAAAAAGATATGTTAATAAACCAAACTACATGGTAGGATAACTGAGCGAACAATGAAGACGATCGAAAATTTCAAGAGCAATCTTCCGCAAAGTTGATGATAAATAATTAAAAAAAAAAAAAAAGATACAATCCCTAGATTTTACTTAGCAAGATCCCGTGGTAGCTTTTGAAAGTATTCATGACACTAATGACGTGTTTGGTTCGCGGAATAGGCCTGAAATGACATATCATTTTCAGTAATGGGCCTATTCCGCTGTTTGGTCACCATTTGGGGTAAGGAACAATGTTCCTGAGAATGTCCTATTCATTCTTCAGGGGGAATAGCATTCTTATTCCCTCCAAATTGATTCCGTGAACCAATCGGGCCATAAAGAGTTAAAAAATAGTCGTGTTATCCACTATTTGGTTAGGGTTTGGAAGAAGGTATGAATTGTAGGGAACATGTATCACAAAGTTCTTAAGTAGATACAAACTTCAAATATTCATATTTGATTTACTGAAAATGATCGGAAGTTACATTTAAGTAGTCTTTGTCTTGGAGGCATATCAAATTCTCAACTATTACAACATGGAAACAAAGGTTTAAATAGAAAAAAAATGACAAAATATTAATTTGGCTGAAAATGAAACATAATAGTTGCACTTTTATTTGCATAAATATAAATTTGTGTATAAAATACGCTCTATGCCATCCAAAATATTTGGGTTTGGTCCTAAATATAGTTTCAAGCCATAGATATTAGATAATCAGAAAGACCCACTAATACATCCCCCTTCTTCTCATTATATTCACAAAATGGATAAGAATTAGTGCAACAATGAAGACATGGTCCACATTTGGATTCACAGTCACCATGAAATGGATCTTTCCCAAGAATATGCTTCCAGCGGAGATTTTGCTCTTCATCTGCAACGCCAAAATCAATCAACGAATTCAAACGAATTTATATTTATCATTACTGGAAATTATGAAATTTCCGACCACCTGAAAGTGACCTTAAATCAAGTTAAAGTCTTGTTCCTCCGACCACTTTAGTATCCGGAAAAACCTTTATTGCTATTTACGACCACTGATTTAAGATTTGTTGAAAATTCCATAATTTCCAGCAGTGTATATTGAAAAATAAAGGGAAAATTGTAAAAAATGCCCCTCTATAATATGCCAATTATCAATGTCATCCCTGAATTATGAGTGGTGTAAATGTTGCCCCTCAATTATCAAAACGGTGCACATATAGCCCCTCCCGTAATAGACATGTGGTTTCCCGTTAGTGTACGACACCGTTAAGTCGGAGTAAATATGTAATTTAGTTGTTTTTTCCCTCCCTCGATTCGAAGTACCAACAATGGACAACGGTGAGGAATCACAGATCTGTTACGGGAGGGGCTATATGTGCACTATTTTGATAATTGAGGGGCAACATTTACACCACTCATAATTCAGAAGTGACATTGATAATTGGCATATTATAGAGGAGCATTTTTTACAATTTTCACCCAAAAATAAAAGTAGAAATAAATTAAATAGCTGACCTGAGCAATCAAAGAAGAAGAAGGTCCATAAATATCCCATGTTTTGGAGGAGAAGGGTGTCTTCAATTTGAAATCACAAACCCTTTCCGCTGTGTTACTGGGTAAGAACACATCTGAGTCTGGGATAATATGGAACACAGAAGAAAATCTAGCACTAAATATCATGTCTCTGTTTTCTTTGCTTTCTCCCCTAAACACATGCCATCTGCAACGGTTTGAACTTAACTGCAAAAAGTATATTTCATTTTTATGATATTTTTATTTAATTACTAATAAAAATGACATATGTTGGGCGGAGGGGGCCAAGTTCAGCACCCTAGCTCAAAAATGTGTTGGCAGTCTATAAGGAAATAAAATTGCGTATTCGCTATACTAATTATATAACTTTTGGCATAGTGGTAAGCACTTATCTTAACAAGTGGTATCATAGTCAGGTCACAGGTTCGAGTGGAAGGAGGCCAAGTCCAGCACCCTAACTCAAAAATGTGTTGGTGATATATAAAGATATCATAGTCAAGTCACAGGTTCGAGGCAGACGGGGCCAAGTCTAACGCCCTAACTAAAAAATGCGTTAGCCGTCTATAAGGATGTCATACTTAGGTCACAGGTTAGAGGCATGCAGAGGGGGCCAAGTCCAGCACCCTAACTTGAAAATGTGATGGCAGTTTATTTCTAAATATATATGTGATGTTGATCTATAAGGAAATAAAGTAAGCATAGTGATAAACCTTTTATCTTAAGAACATATATGCATGCAGTTGGAAGACAAGCATGGTACGTACCTTTGGTCCTAGAGTAACGATTGGGTTTCCAGCAGCATCAAAGATGACCAACTTGCCGGACATCCATTTGATCTTGAAGAGCAATCTGCCATTTGTATCATCTTCGACTTCATACTCATGGCCGGCAAAAAAATAGACTTTCTTCTTTATGGAGAGCTGAATGGGATGAGGGGCACAGAAATTTGGGCTGATCACTGCATTTGGATTGGCAGAGGGTACTTGAAGCGATGACATTATTTTATTTTTCTTCTCTGCAAATTAGACCTAGTGATTATTGATTAAAAATAAAATTGTTTGTTACAAGCTAAGAATATACATGATGTTATCTCATTTATATTATGTCTTCTTGGCGTATCCAATGGGGGATCTTGCAGTGCTGATCACGGTTTTTGGTTGGTACATTATATTGCTCATACAAATCAAGAGTTGTTTTTCCAAAATAATGATACCACTTTGGGGGTGTTTGGTTTAGTTTGTATTCAACTAGTATATATGCATAAATATATAAAACTTGTATTGATGGGATACAAGATATTCAAGATATAGCACTACTTACAACACATTTGGTTCAAGGAATGAATTTTGAGGTAATAGGAATGCTATTCCATAAGGAATGGAATATGCAAGCTAAGGAATAAAATAGGAATTGTATTCTATTGTTTGGTTCGCAGAAGGAATAAACTTTAAGAATTATATTACAGTGTTGGGTTGGTTTAAAGAATATAAATGAAACATGTTTTAAAAGACATAAATACCCTTATAAAAATATGTGGTGGTGGCGATGGTAGCAGTGGCGGTGGTGTTGGTGGCGGTGGTGGGGTGGTGGTGGCGGCGGCGACGATGGTGGTGAAATATGAAATAAATTTAATTGGATGGTAAAAGAGGAAATAACAACTTTAGGCTATTCCTGAGAACTCAGAAATAGCATAATACCAAGGGGCCCCCATGAATCTCTATTCCCTTTATAAGGGGAATAGGTCATTCTCAGGAACAATGTTCTTGGGAATAGATGTTTTTACCAACAAATGAATTGATTTGGGAATGCTATTCCATTACAGACCGGCCTATTCCGCGAACCAAATTAAACGTACCATTAAAGTTATGGTACTCATATTACACAAAATAATACTAGTATATCATCTAGGGTCCTGAGTCAAGCATGAAACAAAACAGCTAGCATTATTCGGAGGTCTACCTTTCAAGAGGCAATACAACAAGATATCAACTTTAGTTGGAGATCAACACAACTTCCGCTTCACTATTACAAGGTTCAACTATATTTAGATATAACATTCTTGGCGTATCCAATGGGGATCTTACAGTGCTGATCACGGATTTTGATTGCTACATTATATTGGTCATACAAATCAAGAGTTGTTTTTCCAAAATAATGATACCACCTTCTCACTCATTATTTTTAAAATGTAGGTTATGAATGAGAGTTCAACCAAATTAAATAATTAAAAGAAATAAAGGCTCCAATACTACCCACCCTAATAACTTATTAATATGCTTAATTGAAAATGAAATTTTTTGTCCTTGAATTATAGGGTCAAATACAAGAACCAAAAACCTCATTTTTTTCTTTAATAAATATTAACATCACTTGCAAAATAACTTGTATCTCAATAGCACTTCTGTGGCTCTATCTCAAATGAGAAGTCATAGGTTATAAATATATCTTTATAAACTTAAATTCATTTAATTATAAAAGGCTCTATCTTTAAAAATTCAATTGTTGTTGTTATTTACTTGACAAGAATAAATAAAAATTATTATTTGTGATAAGTAATAATAAAATAAATATTAATAATAGCTTTGAAAATTATTTTTAAAGAAATTAGTTTACTTCTAAAAATCTATTTATTTCTAAAGTAGTAGTAGTAGTTCTTATATATATATATATATATATATATATATATATATATATATATATATATATATATATATATATATATATAATAATAATAATAATAATAATAAATAATTTTTATGATGATGATGATGATGATGATTATTATTATTATTATTATTATTATTATTATTATTATTATTATTATTATTATAGCTACTCCGTACTTTGGAAAAAAAAATCCTTTAAGCACTAAAAGAATTTAGTTTTAGAAAAATATATTATAAAAGATTTTTAAATTAATATTAATGTCAAATAAAAATAATAAATATATAAACAAGTTAATAATGCACTGGCGCTTTTACTAATTAATAAGTAATTTTTTTTTTTTTTTGGCTCACGATATATGAAAATTTGGTATCAGTGTAAATTCTCGGCAAATCTATTGATGATTAATTAATTACAAATCTTCAAATTATTGCAAGTAAATGTTATGACGTTATCTAATATCTATTCTGGCGAGTCCAGTCAACGTCTGTAGTCTAGTCAACGTCTTCATTCTGGCGTATCCAATAGGGGATCTTGCCGCGCAGATCACGACATTTTAATTGCTAATACTTCTCAAAAAAAAAAAAAAAATATTTAGACTCTTAAATTTTACTGTCTATCTCAAATTTTCGATATTGATATTTTTTTTTAAAGAAAATGTTGTCATTTTTCTTAGAAATCAATGGATGAAAATAACATACTCCTCATCATTTGACATCTCATAAAGTAAAAGTGAAAAAGTAAAGATATAAATTCCATGTATTTGAACTCATAGTTCGCTTACTCTTAGCATAAATAATAATTAACATATCAGTCAAGGTTTTCCCAACTTCTTATTATAAACGTTTCCAGGGTTTACTTATATGTCTCACCTAAATATTCAGTCAAAACCCCTAAATTGTGTTATGCTGATAATTGGGGATGAGCGCGAGTGGATGAGAATTGATTTGAGATAAATTCGCGTTCAATCCAAATACAAATTTAAAAATTTTCATCCCCATATGCATTTATTAGAGTTTTGGATCAAATCCTATTCCCCAATTGAGGATTAGATGCAGATCAACTAGTCTGATATATCATAAATTTAAATAGTAAAATAAATTCAAATGCAATTCAAGCATTCAAAAATTAATATGACAATAATTTTTGAAAGAGTTAATATCATCTGAGTTTCTCCGAGTATAGTAGTTTTGCCACGTCTAGTTCTAAACTTTCAAATTTACCATTTGTGGTCCAAGTTAACTACCATGGTCCTTCAACTATTAAAATTTAACGAACCATGGTCCTTTCAAGAGGACCACAACTGGTTAAATTTCGAAACTTGAAAGATCACGGGTGGTTAACTTTGACCACGAATGGTTAAATTTGAAAGTTGAAGGACCATAGATGATCAATTTGAAAGTTTAGAACTAAACGTGGCAAAACCATTATACTCGGAAGACCTTAGATGGTGTTAACTCTTTTTGAAGCATCTCATTTTATGGACACCATGCTATCAGTATTTAATAACAATTCCATCTGTAAAGTTATGCTAATAAAATAGAAGGTTTCACAAAATTGAATACATACAAACTTCATTCCCTTAATATTTTGCGAAGCAAATCAGGCAATCGTGTTTGAACCATACTCCGAGCTTAATATTTTGTTGTTTCCCATACTTTGGACTGTATGAAGAAGACACTTCAAAGCCTAAGCTATCAGGGCTAAAGAAGACAGTAAGGGGGCGTTTGGTTCAGGTTATATAACATATATAACCAATGAGATGTGACATTTCAAAGCTTACATTCCTATGTTTGGTTCATATTATCTCAGGGAATATAACATTCCCAATGAATAGAACATTCCTTCCACATAAGATTTTGAAGGGAATGTGATTCCCTTCCCTTTCTTAAGTTATGTAAGATAACCTTGGATATTTATAAATTTTGCCGTTTTAATTTTAATTATTTAAAAATATATATTTTATGTTATTTTATATATATATTAAAGATTTCCCTAAGGTATTCTAACATTCCGTGAACTAAACGGCCCCTAAAGATAGAATATGAGAGGTTGGTGTACATTTTCCATGAATGTGTAGAATACTAACCAAGGTTGGAATACTGAGTGCAATTCTGATGACTTACAAATGTAATTGGGCTGCAAAGGACCTTGTGGTCTACTAGCACCAAGTTACTTCCCTATGTGAGAGATGGAGGTTTTGGGTTTGAGCTTCATAGAGGCGGAATAATAGATGTGTGGTGCGGAGCAATTCTGTTTCTTAACTATTCTCATTTTTGTTTATAAAAAGGAATCTATGTTGTAATCTATTTATAAAAAGGCGGAAAAACAGATGTGTGGTGCGGAGCAATTCTGTTTCTTTAACTGTTCTCATTTTTGTTTATAAAAAGGAATCTATGTTGTAATCTATTTATAAAAGCCTTCGATTTGTTTTTAATTATATATATTTAATGATAGCTTTGCACATTTGGAGATGGGATCAATGACTGAAATGTGTAGGAGAGAAACGAAATTCCGTAAATGTGTGTTGACTTTTTTTTTTGACATAAATGTATAAAACTCAGTTCCAACTTGCGTTTTTTGTGTTGTCCCGGCTGTATTTTTTTTTTTCATAATTTACGTAAAACGCATGAAGGAGGTTTTTCGTATTGTATACGTAAAACGCATATGCCAAATGCGTTTTCATGGGACATATCGAATACGTTAAAACGCATTTGGGAGATGCGTTTTACGTATAATACTAAAAAATACTAAAAACGCAACTCCCAAATGCGTTTTATTTACTGGCGCCAGTCCGTCGGAATTTTTTGGAAAACGCAAGAAGCAGTTGCGTTTTACGAATAATACGTAAAACGCAAATACCAGTAGCGTTTTAGTAATTTCCGGCGCCGGTTAGTTGTTATTCTAAATGCGGCGGTTCACAAAATATGACTTGTTATTTCCGGGTTCGAATCTTTTGACATGGTTTTGTTAGCTCTTTATGTTTTTCAGAAAACTAAGTATTATTAAAAAGAAAAATGATAATAGAAGGTGGGCTTGCGTAGACGGTTGAGTGTGTATTTGAATGTGTGTTACGGCCGCTTGGCTTTGGTTTAAAACCTATCGTAACTAATTTTATTTTACTCAGAGAAAAGTAAGTATTATTAAAAAGACAAATGTTAATAGAAGGTGGGCTTGCGTAGTTGGTTGAGTGTGTATTTGAATAGAAGGTGGGCTTGTGTAGTTGGTTGATTGTGTATTTGAATGTGTTTTAGGGCTCGCTTGGCCTTGGTTCAAAACCTATCCTAAGTAATTTTTTCTCTTACTCAGAGAAAAGTAAGTATTAATAAAAAGAGAAATGTTAATAGAAGGTGGGCTTGCGTAGTTACTTGAGTGTGTATTTG